GTTTAAAATAAATCATTGCAAAAATAACACGTAAATCCCCATAAAGAACAATTAATAAAGCGGTTTATTAATCCAATATTAAAAGAATACGAATTCGCAATGACATACTACGAATAGTTCTTTGACTGTCATGTACTTTCTTTTCTTTATAGTACTTATGGATTTACAAGTTACAATTTTCTGTCACCAATGAAAAATAAGCAGAGTTTGAAGAACAGAGATGTCTATTGTAAGCATCTTATTATATCAAAAAAGTCTGGCCTTTACTGCAGATGAAATTTGAAAATCGGGATTTGCACATCACTAGCTCTAATACTAGTAATTACGAACTGAAAAAAGTTAACGTTAGTATCGGTATAAGATCTTTATTCAATATAAAACCAAATATAATCTTGTAATACAACCGTACTTGTTTCATAACAGATAATTGTTCTGATTTCTCAGTTCGTCAACCTTTACGTTCCTGATTGATACAAGGTTCAATCTAACCAAATTTGAATAATTATTTAACGTGATCGCAGTTCTTGGTCAAGGCAGGTAAGCCAAAAGCGGATGCACATACAATGATCACGCAGTCCAATTGAATTCGAAATTTCGAACACAGAAACTTGCCTGTAAACCATACACTTTGTACTTACGTTCCTTAGTATAAAGCAACTGGATAGTCTCAACAATCTTTACAAATACACATTTTAATATGATGCGACGGTTGAACATTCAAATCAAAATCTTAACTCTAATTATTATTTTAGCAACATTCAAATACGTTAGTATTTGGAACTTAAGCTCGCAACAACCATTTTTGGATTTGTTCAATAATATTTTTTATGAAAATTTAGAAAATGCAGACACAACCCTTGGCTTTGATCATATTTACATTACAAATGTTTCATTTCGATCTGGAACATATGAAAAATTAAAATTAATGGAAAATAAATTAAATTTAGCATTCGAATTATTTCCAGTCACTTCCCAATTTAATAGCGAAAGTCATAATGAACCACAGCTATTACAAAAAGCTTTGGCTAGTCATAATATTTATCAATCAATTGTGGATCATAATTATAGGAGCGCATTAATTTTAGAAGACAATATAGATTTTGAACTTAACATCAAATCGATTATGACTAATATCCATCGCATATTACCAGACAATTGGGAAATTCTATATCTTGGTCATTGCAGCAATTGGGAAGGGAAATTAGGTGAACCTTTGCCAGATCACAATCAAGTGCAATTTATTCATAAGCTTTTTAAATCCAAGAGGCCATATTGTACACATGCTTACGCCGTTTCACATCGTGGTGCTCTTAAACTATTGAATAAACTTGTTAACTTAACGACTCCAATCGATCTTGAATTGACCAATATGATTACAGCAAATGAAATTACCTCATACACTATTATACCATCGATTATATCGAGATGCTATATTTCTGATGAATCAACTGGTCTCTATCCAGGAAAAAATACAGCAGACGTGTTCTCTTTAAATAATTCCACTTTATTTTCTCTTGGACTTAATTATGAATTAAATAATACTCTCGGCTTTAGTCATATTTACGTTCTTAATCTTGAAAGTCGGCAAGATAGACGCGAAAAATTAGAAAATTTAGAGAAAAAACTTAATTTAAAATTCGAATTTTTTCCAGCTGTTTCTCTAGACGATGAAAATGCACTCAAAGAATTAGAAGTAAAAAACTCCATTTTAAAT